GGACCAGAATTTAAGAAAATTTGCCGAAACCGCAGGATTTGCAGACATTTATACACAAGACTACAGCGGATATTTTAAGGATATCAAAGATTACATATATTTAAATGGTGAAAAATACAGACCACAAGATATTTCCCCCATAAAAATTTTCAGTTTTGTAACCTTAAAAAACGAAATTCTCGCCTTTCTAGGATGGCCCTATTACATCTTAGAAAGATTAACTATCTTAAACGCTATGTTTAATTTTACAGGATTTCTTTTCTCACTGTTAAAAGGAATCTATAACACATGCGCTGAACACACACAAGTAAACCGCCAAGCAAGTGTAGCACGTATATTATTTGCAGGATTTTTTGGAATTTTCTCATCATCAATCAATAAAATACTTCTAGATGCACAAATAAAAGAATATAATACAAAAATATCCACAAGACCAAACACATGACGAAGAACATAATAATGTAGCTACAACACCTACAGCACCACAGATACCAACCCTACCACAAAACCATCAATTATCATTAGTTCCCTGAAATTTTCGAAACCTAGCAATCACAAATAATCCAAATTTAAGACCAAATACAACACAAAGTCCCATTCAACACATAATGACACATTATTCACATAATGATAATACATATGAACAAATTATCGAACAACGTCATACCACCACTTTTCCGTCTCAAAATAATCATTTTTTTATCCCACGATGAGCCGACAAATTGGATCCCTCCATCGCTCAAATTCCCACCCAGCCAACCTCCAAACTCAAATCGCAATTATCCCACTTTTTGCTTTCCCGCCACCCGATTCTCCAGTTATTAATATACCATCAAGCATGAATTCTGATACTAACTCAGATATTTCAGTTTTTCATACCATCTCACAATTTAACAACTCCGATGTAGAAACTCCCGACGAATTCGCAGACTCCGAACCATCTCCCCATACCCAGACCAACTCGTCAGCTTTTTCAAAGCCCCCTTTCGACCCATCCAAACCAGTCATCCACTCCCATCCCTTTCCACTCCTTCTTATGCTTCCCAAGTAACCCCAACCTATTCTCCATTTAATTTCACCACTATCAGATTACACTCCATCATTAGCTCAATCTTCCACATCCACCGAAACACCTACCAGCACTAACCGAGCTTACCGCAATTTTAAACGAAAATTCCCAAATCACCCATTTATAACCAAACCCGGAACAGCCAGAGAATATATCAAACTCCCAGATCACACAAACACTAAAAATTACCTTCAAATAACCCTACCCTCATTTCCACAATATACCTTAAATACTTCTACCACTACTAATGAAACACGAAATTTTGTTGATGAGCACGTTTTAATGCCAACACTTCATTGGACAGCTTACTACAACTATACTAACCCCCTTTATCTACCACTCACTAATACTAATGAAAATATCGAGAGAAACAAAAATATACTATATAGACTCACCACATCATTAACACCTCGACAATTTACATACGTTGGATATAAAAAATTATTAAAAACATTCACCGCACCCCGAGCTAACGATTACTCAATTGAATACTACGATCATAATATCATCCGTCCTAACCAAGATCAATTTTTAGACGAAGACCGCTTTGCAAACCCGCAACTAACCGAAAATTTTTTTTATTAAAACACCATACTATTTACACTTAATTTTTTTCATAAAAAGCACGATCATATAATTTCAGAAGCACTAGTTGACATACAAGCATATGAAAGCTTCTATGATAAATTTCAGTTATTTTCACTAACCTTTCACTTTCTTTCACCACAGGAACGCGATTTGCACTGTTCCCACGATATAATGTTACGCACTAAACAAACGCACACTTACACAAATTATCGTTTTATACAAAACCATTTTGATTTACACACACCATCACGACAACCCCATCACCGTTTTCAGTTTAGTAACTCGAAGTACCCGTCACCATTCTTTCTTAATTTTACATATTGCATTAAAAATACTAACCTCCACGGCATCCTCCGCAACTACGACCCAGTTACCCAAATGTATATATTCTGTCCTATCACGAAGACCTTCAATGATGAAGAATCAAGACCCTTCATTATCCCGCATGAATTCATACAACCTATTGAAATACCCATACTAGAATTTGTTCATAACACTAAATATAATCATAAAATTTACATTCTAATCCAAAACACACCTCATGAATTTGCAGTAGGCACAGAAGAACTAAACACCATCAACGCACTTCAATTGCTTTGGCCACTGCTACAAACTAAAAATGTTATACGCATACTAGCCAAGTTATTAACAACATCAGACTTGATTCACGACATCTTCCCACATGGCTTTTTCCCAGATGAATAAGGTAAATATGAAATAAAATAATTTTAACTAATAAATTCAAAATTTTACTAACCATTTTCTATCAATGTTTAATTTATTCTTTTGGTCTTCACACCACAATCATCTACAAAACAGAAAAAAGACAAGTAAAAATACAAACTTGTTAATTTATAATAAAACTACTAAATCTTTCGCCCTAAATAAAGAAGTAAAATTCATACCCAATGTAGTAATTTCATTTATAAATTATTTTGCCAAGAAGCAGTAAAATTAAATACGATGAAAATTTATAATTTTAAACTTCCCCAAAAGCAGTAAAATGCAATTTCAAAGCAATAAATTCATAAAATGAGAAAGCAGTACTAACCTTTTCAATATTTTCATTCATTAGCACAAGAATTCTATCCAAACTCGCACAGCTCGCCCACGAAGAATTGTTTAAATAATGATTTTATGCTTCAAGCTTTCACTAACAACAACTCAAACAAGCAATAACAAGTTTCAAACTTTTCTTTAACCCGGTTGGAAAGGAACTATATACTAAACCAAACTAATCAACGCAGCTTACTAAACACCACAAATCATGAAATAACAGCATGACTAAGAAAAGAAAACCAACGGTACCCAAACCGGATTAACCCAGCTTAAAACTGGATAATTTCTTCTTTTGAAGATTATTATAAAGTCTAAGAAAGAAATAATATAACACAAAAAAGTCGTAAGACAAACCCAAACCAAAAACAATTTGATTTTTGAAAAAAGGACACAACCAAAGTAACATAAGAAAGACCAGAAAAAACCAACATAAAATGTTATCACATAACAGGACCTTTCAAAGAAACAGCATGAAATCATACTCCCACTCCTGGCCTAACCCACCAGAGAAGGACGTCCTGAGCATGCTTATAGCCGGCCTAACGCACCGCGCTACACCCACGCTTGGTGACTACACTTCAATTTTTAATAAGAGGTACTCAAGGGTGAGTAACTCTTCAAAATAACTGAACTAAAATAAAACGCTTTTGTGAAAACAACTAACTAAGATCATGACTAAAAACCAAATTAACAAAAATTTATAAAATGTAAATCATAATATGCAGTATATAAATCATACACAACACCAAAGACGAACATCCAAAGACTAGACGATCCCATCACACTCGAACAAAAGAATGGCTAAACACAACCGACATGCCGACCACAATCACGACTCAAAGGATTTAGAGTACGACTTAACTTCGCAGAAAAGGACTTCATTGAACTAGACCAATGACCACCTCGATGTTCAAGTATACGTACAGATCCGAGTTACAAGGCATCCCTTCCAAACACGATTTTCACGCCATTCCCAGACGAGGCTGAACACAAAACAGTTCTCTACTAATACAGAAAAATCTGACATAGCAAACCATTTTGAAATCGGATTGATTTCATTGGGGATCACAGTCGTTGTCGAATGACAAGATAACAACTTCATATCCATAATTCCAGCGTCCTGGAACGTTCTTCTTCAAGAGGAACCGGATAAGAAAATGATGTTCGCCAAATACCAACGTTCATCATCCATCCTTCAATTACAGAAAGAAAGATAAATCTAAAAACTCTGTAAACCCCGGATGGGTGAAACCTGATCTAAACTACATTTTATTATTGGATAAATTAGATATTTTATCACTATAAAATATTTAATATTAACCAATCATATTCCATCTAACTAACAACCCACTTATTTGTAAGTGCTGAAATTACTTGTAATTTCAGCACCAGAGAGATTTGATTTTAACTTAGAAATTAGTTACCTCTCCAAGAGAACTTCAGCAGCCGCAATAAGCCAGTATACTCTAGATCTATTGAGCCTAGCAGAGACTAGTTAAACACCCTGAGACTACTAGATATAAGAGTAAGATTAGGATCGGTATTAGACTAAGAAGTTGCACGAATCTATCCGGCCGAAAATTAGATAGCGTGACGAGCAGACTGTGTACCCTATCCGAAATTACTCTATGAGTTATACACCTAACAAATAACTCACAAGCCTAAGTTTGTCGTTGCTATTTTAGATTAATGGTAAAACTCAAACAAAAATTTTCCCAGTCTTTTATGTTTCTTGCAGTCCATCTGCCGAACCAATAAGAAAGTTAAGAACAAGTTTAAGAACAAGTTGGAAAGTATGTGCAGAACGGGTTGTAGAAGGAACTAATTTTCGATATATCTTGAGGATTTCACAATTGCTTAAATATCAGTTGTAACAATAAGTCTAGTTTCGGCTCTGTATATTTTGCATGCGTCCGAACCGAAATGTTCTCTGAAGTGTTCATCTTTGGCCAGCCTTTTGTCAAGCAGCTTGAACTGTGCGAGCGCTGAGTAGTCGAAAATAATTACAGTTTCCAGCGCGAATGAGCGAAACTGCTATTCAATTCTTTCTTTTCAATGTATTGCACTGTAGTAGTTACTTAATTTAGTTACTTAAATTAGATACTTACTTAATTTAGGTACTCTTCTGTTGTGGGTTTTGGGCCCCTTGTTACTGTTTCGGCATACTAGTTACATTAGTTATTACTAATATCATGATTAGAAACGCAATCGTTGTCTGCGTAGTATTTGCTCACGAATAATCATGCAAGATCAAAAGCGGTATAATCGATTTATTTTCAGGTCTAATGTTAATTAACTGTCTCGACTTAAAATGATCGCCCAGCTCAAAGATCGTCTGAAAAAGAATTGGTTCCTTTTAAGCATAGTTTTAGCCATAGTGGTAGCCAAATTTCAACCATGGATAGGGGCTAAAGATGGACCGCTTGCTCCTGAATACACTGTGAAATATGTAGCAGTGTTCGTTATTTTCTTCAACAGTGGTCTGTCAATCAAAACTGAAGAGTTCTCGAAAGCTTTATATCAACTAGAAGTTCACGCTTTTATTCAGCTGTTCACTCTCGGGTTTATTCCAGTATTTGTGAAGTTTTTGATACCGTTTTTGACTAAACTGGGAATCCTTCGGGCACTTCTGACAGGGTTTCAAGTAGTGGCGTGTATGCCTCCCCCTGTCTCTTCGGCTGTGATTTTGACCAAGGCAGCCGAGGGTAACGAGGCAGTAGCAATATTTAACTCTGCTTTCGGAAGTTTTCTCGGCATATTTGTGACACCGATGTTGCTACTTCAACTTGTCGGTGAGAGACATTAGCTTTTAAACTAATGTGACCAACAAAACTACCCACGTAGTGATTAATGCAAATAATTCATTAATGTTTCTCAATTCATAGGTTAGAGGTTCAATGTGCAGAATGATTTATTCTTGTCATTTCAGGATGTGGTAAAATTAACATACACATGTACATAATTTGAACAAAAAAATGTGATGTCCGCTATGGCACAGCAATGGTTCCTTTTGGAGGGGAACAGCTCGAGTGCTAGTCTGTTTCCTTGTCGATAAATGCTCTCAATGCAATTTATTCTTTAGATTTAACTGGAAAATTAGCAAAAATGTAAGTCAACTTCTGTGATCTTGAACTTCGTAATGGTTTGAAACAGTTGCAGTTAAACTCTTCTTATAAGGTTCAGTTAATATGCTCTTTAAGATTTCAACTCAGGTATTTTTCTGATAGTTTAATTCCTGCTTAAATTCCTAGTTTTTTATTGGCAATTTCATTTGACAATTTTGACCAATTTATTCGTATGTTAGCATGAACATACAAATTAAAATAATTTTTTCGTATCTTATTTATCCAGGAACTTCGAGTTCAGTCCCAGTGAGTAAAATATTCAACCAGCTCTTCCTTACTGTCGTTCTTCCAATCATCCTGGGGAATGCAATCAGGAGGAACTTCAAAGACTTCCTGGACCGACAGAAGATACCGTACAGTCTGATTGGGAACCTAGTTCTTCTTCTGATCATATTCACTACTTTCTGTGACACATTTAGTAGCTCCAACTTCGAAATGGATAAACTCAGTCTTCTCCAAATCGCATTCGTGGTTGTAATATTTCAAATATTTGTGCTAACTTTGACTTTTAATTTAAGCACAAATGAAAATGTAGGTAAAAAATTGAGGTTTCAGCCTGCAGATACAGTTGCAATTATATTTTGTTCGACTCACAAGTCATTGACGTTGGGGATCCCGATGTTGAAAATAATATTTAGCCAGGATCCAAACTTGCCTCTGTACTCGATTCCATTGTTAGTTTACCATCCCACCCAGATTTTATTAGGTGGGACTCTGGTTCCAGCAGTTCACAGATGGATGAAGAAAGAGCAGAAGAAAATAGACAACGCTGTGGATTCGGCAAACGAAATATACCCACCATCTGAAGCGTAATCAAAATGTTCCGTTCGTTTATCGGAGTAGGGCAATGTTATTTTCAATTCCGATAATTAAATCATATCGTATTGGAAAAAAAGTGAAGGGTTTTCACGGATACCTTTAGAATTTTACGGAACTTGATACAGGGATTAATTTATTGAGGTTTTACCACAACACTAATGTACATATCGCATAAAAAGGTTTAGAGCCACATGGAAGCTTCATCATCTTGGTGCTTTTGTGAATACATTTGTATATTAAGTCGTTGCTTTATTCGTAATTGGCACATTTGTTTGTCCCAGAAGTGGTATAACTTCTATATATGATTTATGAAAGTCTTTATTGTAACAAATTTTTTAAATGAAAAAAAATCAGTCCCGTTTTTATTTAAATGTCTGTCGGTCTTTTTACACAAGCAGAGCTGGTGTTATAGTGTGAATTTTCTTTTTTTTCCGAACCTAAGTCGCAAATAGTGTTGCGATGCAATTGTTGCGACAAAAGGTGTTCATTTCGAAAGTGTCCATTTTGATACAACTATTAAGTACAGCCAATGCTATGGATATTAACACAGACTATTATATTACAAATAGCACTTTAGCTAGGCAGCATGGATCTGTAGCGTAGAGGTACGGGAGGAGACCAGCATCAAAATAAGAGGGTTCGAACCTGGGCAGGGTCAGATGTTTTAATGATGTTCACATGCTAGTTAAAATGCGTCGGCTCTATAAATTGGGGCCTTTTAGTTGGTAAATTTCTTTTCTTTCAAATTGACTGGTGCTGCTAATGCGTCATAATTGACTTGCGTTACTTCGCATTTATGTAGACTCATAATTGGAGTGCGTCACTTATGAAATTTTATAGACTCAAAGTTTTACTCATTCAGTTTTCCAGTAGCGTTTTCGGTCATATTTTTGCTTCTGTATGCGAAGTGTAAATTCGCCTCTGTGTTAAATCTTAGAAAGAATGCAGTAAAATCTGTGTAGAATGGCATATTGTAGAGCGGCACGAGTGGTATAATGCGCGTGAATCGAGTTTTGTTGCAAAGCTAGATTGCAGTTAGTGAGATTTGTTTTATATATTATTGAAAGTTGTCGCATTCCTTAGATTTTGCGAGTTGTGCATCTTTGCTTTCTGTCTATTGTTGTCAGCAGTTGTTGTTGTTTGTAGCTGCAAAAAGAGGGGTCGTCAAATTCGTGTCTTCATTGCCGTTTATTTTCAGTATTCCACAATCCAAAGATTGTGGAGGCTGATTGATTGTTTCGTCTTGTCCGTAAAACTAACTGTGGCTTTCCCAGGAAAGAGCAGGAAGGACCCCTTCCGGCAGTACTGAGTAAACCCGGTTATAGGGGGCAGTTTTTAGTACGGAGAACCGAGCAAAACTCCCGTGACCGATTTCGCGGGCATTTTTAGTTAGTGCTGAGAACCGAGCAAAATTCCTAATGTGCTCCGTTTTAATAAGTTGAGCCAGTTTGCGACTGCAACAGGGTTGTCCCACAGGTCGTCAAGTTTAAGAGATGTTGGCTTCAATGGACAGTTGAAGCGGTAGTGTGTGTCGTGCGGACTAGCGTTACAGTTCGAGCAGTTGTTTTAGATGCTTTTGTCGACAGATAGCTATTTAATTGTTTGCTATATCTACAGCGGAATTGAGCAAGAGTACGTCGCGAACTTCTGGGAAGGCTGTTTTCTTCCGAAGCTGTTTCTGGAGTTTGAGAGCCTGTCAGTTTAGAGGTATGTTCGTAGTTTTCACCTCATATGAATGAATTGTTTTCAGAGCGACTTTGTATTGATCTGGTGTTTAGCGATCATTTTCATCAAGATGCTTTCTTTGATGCTGCCATAGTATTTTTCTGCAAAGGTTTTTTGCTTAGTCTCGACATCGGGTTGAGTTTAGTTGTGTGGTGGTCACACTGTTCTTGTTGATGGAAGCAGTTAAATTGTTTGCCTACGTTTCATTGTGTTCTTTTGCTGACAGTATTTGAGTTTCACAATAAAGGTGTTGAATTGGGGTCATTTTTGTGCAGCCAGTTACAATTCTAAGTGCTGTATTTTGTCGAGTTTGAAGATCTTTTTCCAACGAGAATACCTTACTGAAGGTGTCCCTACAGGAGCTGCGCAATTCAGAACGGCTTTATGGCCTTACATGTAATACTTGGATTTTCTTTGCTGCATCCCCAGCTTGTGCCTGAGAGCTTTTTCAGTAAGTTATTTCGTGTTTGCGTTTTGTTTATCACTTTGGCATTGTGTTCAGTGAGAGTAAAGAGGTTATCAAAAGTGACTCCTAGATTTTGGTTTTAGAAGTGTGTGTAAGGGTTGTTTTCAATAAACACATTAGTTTGATTCTTTATTTCTTTGTTCCAGGTTGATTTAAGAGTCACTGAAGATTTGTCAGCCTCTAGTTTTAAATTGCGTTTCTAAAATCAATTTTATAGAGTACTTAGATAGGGCTGTACCTCTAGTTCAAGTTCAGTATTTTTCGGACCAGTGGTGGTGATAGAAATGTCATCTGATCTGCATAGGGTGTTGTTTTGATGTTTTCGGCAGATGGAAGGGGCATTGATGACATGTAAATATTGAACAGAATAGGCGGCGACAAGACTCCTCCATGAGGTACACCTTGTTTCATTCGTCGCATTTCTGATTTTTTCGTTTTTAAAATCCTAAGTTTTCTTGCGTGGTAAATATTATGTTATCCATCTTTTTGTATTCTTTGAAGAGACGACGTTTCAAGATCGTGCAGCAAGATACCGTGATGCACTGTGTCGAAAGCTGTAGTAAAAACTAAAGCAAATAGGAGTGTCCTTTGTGGAGGACGAGGTTGACTTAGACCGTTTGTTATAAGGTGGATTTAGTCCGTATATTAGTCCGCAGTCGAAGGTAGTGTATTTTGACCTGTGTTTCCGAAATCCGTGCTGCTGATCTGCTAGTGGGATTTTTTTGAAATCATCCAGCAGGATAATTTCACTCAATTTCGCTACTGGGGTGAAGAGGGCTATGGGTCGGTAGCTTTTTGCTTGATCTTTGCTTTTGCCTGGTTTCAGTAAAGGAAAGAGTCTACAGACTTTCCAGTTTTGCAGAATGATTGAGGAATTGAGAGCTAGTGATATTAGTTCTGTTTTTCTTGCAGATTGATCCAGCTGAATGGAAGGGGAACGTAGTCGCTGGTTTTCTCCGTTCCCAGAATAAAAACACGAATTGGGCAACGATGTTCTTGTTGCATGTTTGTACGAGATTTGGGCCATGCCGTGAGGCATGGCGTGGATACTGCCGCGAAGAGGCACTCGTACTTCGGTATTCATTGTTGTCAGTTGTCGTATGACGTGTGACGATATTTAATATTCTGGACATCCAGACTCCATGAGCAATTGTCATTCTAGATCCGGAAATATAAGGTTTGCCTTAATTAAGTCTGATTGCCTTAATTAATAATTATTGATTGAAATTCAGACCCTACTACTGTTTTCTCTCCCCCACCAGATGTAAGGGCTATTTTTACGGTGCAACGACTGTTTTGCCAAGCTGTTCATGAGAAAAAATTTAAAAGTCATTGGGCAATCAACTCGCTTGCCAGTTTTTACGACAATTGTTCAATGTCGACAAAAGTTAAAAGTATAAACAATGCGTTCGGAACGTTATTGAGATCGCTTTTTTCAGATTAGGTTTGTTGCTTGCGCAGAGCCATCTTTGAATATCAAGTAAAATGGCACGAGGGCTTCACAGCCAGTCTCTGAAGCGGACGAAGAGGGAGAGAGTGAAGAAGCGACTGGAGAAGCTAGAGGGCATCCAGAAGGCCAAGGAGGATGGCACGTATGTTCCGAAGCCATGGGAGAACAGACCCCTCATCCAGGAGTTGTACGCGTTCGCTCTTAAGAGTCACACGACCAAAGGGGATCGCCAGAGATCGGAGAGTCAGAGTAGTTCGGGTGACAAGGATCCCCTCATGGATCTAGGTGCGTTCATCGACGCCTGCATACGTTTGGTTTTTCGAAAAGCTGATTATGCAAATGCTACGCTGGGTTGTTTTAACTATCCACTCACCTTTCTCTTTTTACTTGCAAACTTTGGCTCGACAAGGTTGGATTATAACATAAGTTTTGATTTCATAATAATTAAGGTATTCCAAAAATTTCTGTTGTTCATGTCTTTGTTGTTCATATTTTTGTTGCATGATTTTTATCTAAGTTTTTCACCATTCACTTGATGCTTACTTTAAGTACAGAGGTAAAGACAGTTCTAGGCTAGTATTAGTCGTTTTAATCGGGTTGCTCGAGGTGCAGTAATCTATCCCTTTAGGGAAAGTTTGATTGATATATTAATTGTTAAAAATAACTTGAAATAAACCAAATGGAACGAATTTTTGAAATCATTTATTTGAGCATTTTCATATTTTTAAATTTTAATTGACGTTTGCTTACCCCGATTAAACCAATAACCTTTGAAATTAAAACTTAGTTTTTTTATGATGGTAAGTAGTTTTTTATACAGGGAAGATGAAATAGTTTTATCGATTACAACAGGAAGTTTCTCATATTCTTTTAGTTGCTTTGAATGGACTTTGAAATATCAGATAAGTAAACCTAAGTGTTCAATTACCCTTTAGTACAATTTATAATCGAAATTTATATAAATTTTAAATAGGGATCTCAAATGCTCTTGGTTCCGGTTTTCGCCGTATCCAGTGAGTTTTTACGCAACCAAAGGTTTTTTAAACGGCCAAAAAGTTTTACGCGAGTAATAATTGTTTAAAAACTGCATAAAGTTACATGAAAGTTATGCTTATTTCCGACTGAAATTTTGTTCGGTGAACAAGGTAACTATTAGCAACCTATTTGTTCTTCCAATCGTAATATTGCTCATCTAACTATTAGAACACCAAAAACAGCTATGAAATGAAAATTCGAAATTGTTGGGTGATCAGAGCAGAAAAGAGCTTTAAAAATTGCTTGCATTATCTCTTTGCAGATCTGAGGTCTCCCGGAACTCCTCGCAGTCTTGAAGACGCAGAAAGTGCCTCAGTGCACTCAAAAGACGACGCCAGCTCCCTCACCTCCCGTAGCAGCAAGTACTCCCTGCGCAACATCGAAAAGCAGCTCCTCACCAAACTCCAGTCATCCAAAACCATGCCAGACTGGCTGTCCAGAAAGGACCGACGCAAGGTTACACTCTTAACACGACCGGTTTCTTTCTTGATCTGATTTTCGGTTAAAATGTGAAATTGCCATTGTGTTCTTCGATTAATTTAAGCCTGGTCAAATTTGCCGAGCATGGAAGTGTCGTTATTTTCGTATTTTCAATTATTTAATAGTTGGAATATGGGAATAGATTATCTGGAATCTGACAAAAAAAGCTTTACAGCTGTCAATTATGTTTGAATTCT